GTTTCTCTCCTGTGTGAGTTCTCAGGTGTGCAACGAGGTGAGAATTCTGAGTGAAACTATTCCCACATTCAAGACATTTACAGAATTTCTCACCTGTGTGAGTCATCTGGTGGCTAATATAGTTGGAATTGGTACTGAAACTTGTCTCAAAATCTGGACATTCATACTGTTTCTCTCCTGTGCGAATTCTCGGGTGCATCACGAGCTGTTCTGATCAGAGGTTTTGCCACATTCAGAGTATATGTAAGGTTTTTCTCCAGTTTGGTTCCTCTCAAGCAAAATCAGCTGTGATTTCAAGCTGAATCTTTCCCACAAGAGGCACATCTATGGAGGTTTTCCACCACTAATATTCTTGAGGAGGTAAAAAATATGGATGGTCTCTTCTTTAGTAGTGCTTTGATTCAAGCTGTTTTCTTCCTCCCACAGTGAGGCCTTCAACACCGTCTGCTCTACGTGGCTTTCCAATTGACCTTTTCCTCCCCAGTAACTTCCCATTTGCTGAATGGAAAAATAATCTTTTCATGTAATATATGCTTGAATATATTATCACGTTTCACGAATATATATCACGTTTCTCTATCACCTGTTGAGGAAGGTAAATAATTGTGTAGCTCTCCGAAGGAAATAGAAATAATTTGACTTCTCTACTGACTTGCTTTGCTATTCGGTGTTGCTTGTTATTCTCAGTTGTCCAGAGTGCTCTTATTGCCATCCTCTTTGTCTATAAGATTCAAATAAAAGGGTATCTTTAATTGTGCATAAAATGGTTGCAGAAGATGAGAAAAAAGGAAAATTTTTACATTACAATCACAAAGCAAACATGCCACAATGCTCCAATAAGCTCTTACATTAATCATGATTCATTTGACACATGGAAGGCTACCCAGATCCAAGTTCGAATATCCATTCAATAAAGAAATTCATTTGTTGACTGGGTCAGTCACAAATTCTTAGAAGAGCAAAGGGTTGTTTTCAAATACAGGCAAGTAAAAAAGAACGAACACCTTCTTTGATATCTTTGGTTTTACTTATCAGGACATAAAAATATCATCACAACAGAAAAAAATAATAGAATTTGAAAGGATCTTAAAGATCTTCTAATCCAGTCCCTGCTCCACCAGGAGACCCAGAGGTGGGTCACACCTGTTTGCCATGAGATGCGTGCATGTTTGCTCTGTGTGTACATTTGGACAAAGAAAGAGGCAGTTGTTGGGGAAGAAGTGGGGAGACTGAGTAAGGGGCCTCTGAAGGAGGGGACACGGGATGGAGGTAAGTAAGCGAGCCGAGCTGGTGAGTTCACAGTGGAAGCAAGTGGGTGGGGGGGGGGAAGAGGTTTAGAAAGGCACACATGTCATGGCGTTGGGACCTTCTGTGAGGAGACAGCGTGTGTGGGAGTTCCTCTGGCGCTGTGAGATGTGTGCATGTTTGTTCTGTGTACATTTGGATGAAGAATGAGGGAACCGAGTCTGGTGGAAGCAAGTGAGGCGGGGGGAGGCTTAGAATGGCAGGAGCCGGACGCACAGACTGAACACCACGGCTTGTTTTGTAGGATCTGGACCTTAGCAGGATCTTCTGTTTTAGACAGCAGGTTGCGCCCCTTTCCCTGAAGTAACTTTTCTTTGAAGCCTACATGACCGAATGCTGCACCAATGCTCCAGTTGGCCTTTGTATTCCCTGCCGTCACCGCCTTTTGCTAGTCCAAGTTAAGATAGTTGAGTTTACTTTCATCAATCTCGCCCTGTTGCCTTTCTGTCCTTCCCCCCCACCCATTGAATTTCTCACCCTTCCTCAGGCTCTAGGCCTGATTTAGCGAGATGAAGCAAACGTGCCGGGTGGGGAGGGGAGAGCTGGGTTTTTTGGCTCGGGATTGGACCTTGGCTGCCGCGTTGGAGGTTTTATTAAAAGATCTTTATAAAAATTGCCGCCGTGGAGCCCTTCATCACATGGGATTGCCCGGCAGCGAGGAGGGAGAAGAAGGAGCGTTGGTAGACTTACCTGAGAACACACCTTCTCAGATGGTGTAGACAGGATCCATGTATGGGATGTATTCAGCTCTGTTCGGCTATAGACTGAATAGAAAAAAATGAAGACACCCCTCCTTTGGGCTACCATATCCAGTTCTTAATGAAGTCGAGGTCTTCCTGTAGTTGCTGCATGGGTCCCATCTTTATATAATAATCATAGTCAGTAGTCTCTTATACCAGTGATCTCCAACCTTTTTGACGCCGCGGCCCGGTACCGGCATCAGCTGGGTGCCGCGGCCCGGTACCGGCATCAGCTGGGCGCCGCCATCTTTTTTTTATGAAAACGTGCTTCCGGTGAGCTTTCTACCCGGAAAAGCTCACCGGAAGCACTTTTTTATGAAAAAAAGATGGCGGCGCCGAGCAAGCCAGCGGCCCGGTAGTTGTTCCGTGGACCGGTACCGGTCTGCAGACCGGTGGTTGGGGACCCCTGTCTTATACAGTCCTGACCATAACAGCGAGAAAAAAACGGGTGGGTCTGGATCCTGTCTACACCATCTGAGAAGGTGCATTCTCAGGTAAGTCTACCAAAGCCCCTTCTCCAGACTGCTTGGCAGATCAGCAGAAAAAGGAGCACCAGGCTGTTTGGCTGTGCAACGGCAGAAAGGATTAGTTGAAAGGCACACCAGGCTTGACTTGGAAAATGGCCGTCTATTTCAAAGTGGCGTTCTCGCCAAATCTAACCTCTACAGCGCCGAAATTACCGCACCTGGAACTGCGTGCCAATTGATCCGCAGCCGTGCTTAGGCAGCGCTCCCTTATTTGGGCAGGCTGCCTATCAGGCTTTTCAATTCAGGAGCCCCTCGATACCTTCGTCTTACTGTGATCCTTGAGTAAAGCACTGAATGAGTCTCCGCCAGTCAGCTGTTAGGCGCTAACTGTTCTTGGCTCCATACCTCGATCTCCGCGCGCTGAATAGGTAGTGCTCTCTTAATGCGGGCAGGCTTCCTCGCAGGCAGATGAATCTTCAACGCTCCCAATTCCTTTTTCTAGGTTTTGGGAGCGAGTTGGAAGAAAATGCGATCGGGCGCTATAGGAGGCTCCGTTGTAGAACAGGCAGGCAGCTTGCTGAGACTGTAGCTGTTCTTTCAGTCGAATGAAGCACGGAGGCAATTTGCTTGCCATGCTTGTAGTCCCTTTAGGACTGTTGTGTGGATTATTCCAAAATAAAAAAAAAAGTAATTTTTAAGCTGCCAGCGTCTCTCTATTTGCAAAAAAACAACAACACAGGAGCAATTGAGCAACTGTCTATATTAGCCGAGACTGAATAGAAGACCTGGAAATGGTAGCCCAAAGTCTTCAGTTTTTTCAATTCAGTCTATAGCCAAACAGAGCTGAATACATCCCATATATGGATCCTGTCGAAACCATTCTGGAGAAGGGGTGGTTGCTAGCAGAGAGGAGAGTGCTTTTGGGACAAGGGGAGCCAGAAAGAGAAAAGGCAGCTTGCAAGAGTAGAGGCAGGACAGCAAAGCAAGCAAGTGAATGAACCTGGCCTGCTGGGAGGCCTCTTTATTCCCCAAGGCAGCCTGGTAGCACCCGCCTCCTCGTGTGAGAAGCTACTGAAGGGCCTTCTCACTGGGACCGCTGCCCATGTTCAGATTCCCTGCCTCCCTCTGGCAGCCCTCAGCCGAGCATGGCGGCCCCACCAACTTCAGCGATACCACCACCCTCTGTGCTCAAAACCTTTCATCTTGAAATGTTTCTTGAAAGTCACCCCAAAGGGGTAAGCAAAGTAGGCTTCTTATCCTACATTCTCATTAGGGGTAGTCCTTGATTTATGGCCACAACTGAGCCAAAATTTCCATTGCTAAGCAAGATTTAAGTGAGTTTTGCTCCATTTTGGGATTTTCCTTGCCATCGTTAAGTGATGTTCAGTAGTAATAAATAAATATCGTATCTGGTTGAGGCCGGGAGGAGGGGCCAATTGTGTTGAGTGATGTCGAGTTGACCATGCCCAGGCATTCACATGATCACCCAGCCACGCCCACCCAGACAGTCATTAGGGCAGGGAACCGGTTGTTAAAAACTTTGCAGCCCACCATGAGGAGATCCTACAACATTTCAGATAAGTGGTTGTCTCACCTCTTCTGAAAAGACTCCAGTGATGGAGCAGTCCTTAATGGGTCTAAGTCTACATGGAGGGAAGTAAGCAGTGGGGTGCCACAAGGTTCTGTCTTAGACCCAGTACTCTTCAATATCTTCATTAATGACTTAGATGAGGGAATAGAAGGGGAACTTACCAAATTTGCAGATAATACTAAGCTGGCAGGAATAGCTAATACCCAAGAAGATAGGCTCAAGATCCAGATGGATCTTGACAGACTAGAACACTGGGCCGTATGTAACAAAATGAAATTCAATGTAGAGAAAAGTAAAGTCCTACCCTTAGACAAGAAAAAACCAAAAGTACACAAATAGACTGGGTGTAACCAGGCTCAATAGCAGTAACTGTGAGAGAGATCTTGGAGTCTTAGTGGACAACCAGCTAAATATGAGCCAGCAGTGTGCAGCAGCAGCCAAAAGAGCTAATGCAATCCTAAACTATATTAACAGGGGGATACAATCAAGATCAAGGGAAGGAGTAACACCACTCTATAAAGTCTTAGTAAGACCACACCTAGAGTACTGCATCCAGTTTTGTTCACCACATTATAAAAAAGATGTTGAGACTCTAGAAAAGGTACAGAGAAGAGCAATCAGGATGATTAGGGGACTGGAGGTTTAAACATACAATGAACGGTTGCAGGAACTGGGTTTGGCTAGTCTGGTGAAGACAAGGACCAGGGGAGACATGATAGCAGTCTTCCATTATTTGAGGGGCTGCCACAGAGAGGAAGGGGGTCAAGCTATTTTCTAAAGTGCCTGTAGGCCAGACAAGGAATAATGGATGGAAACTGAACAAGGAGAGATTTAACCTGGAAATAAGGAGAAACTTTCTGACAGTGAGAACAACCAACCAATGGAACAGCTTACCCTCGGAAGTTGTGGGAGTGCCATCACTTGAGACTTTCAA